TATAAACCGATTTGTGGAACCTTTACCTTGGTTGGAAGAGGTTCCCTGGTCAAATGAGGGGCTAAAGGAGTCTCAACTTCTTGATACGTCCCGTCCATTGTTGGAATTTGTCGTCGTGATTCCTCATGGTTATCTTGTTGAGTTTCTAACTCAGCAATTCTTTTTCTTAACATTTTCAGCTCCTCAGATTCACGTCTTAAACGATTTCTTTCAATTAGACGACGTAACTCATTTTGCTCACGACGAATATGATTTTGTTCAAGAGTTCGTCGCAAATCAGACGGTTGATTGTGTTGTAATGTCTCTGGTAACGAAGGAGCTGGTTGTCGTGGTCGACGTCCGGAATGACTTTCTGCAGTGGCCTCCGATCGAACTGCTTCTGGAATATGAGTTTGCACAGGAACTACTCCACAGTTTTGAGATGCAACGTCATGTTGTGACTCATGTGTGCGCGGATGAGAAGTTGTATGTGACGCAGCGGGAATATCATTTCTTCGTGGAACTGGTGAAGGATGAGTTTGAGGATTATCCGCTGCGGTTGGTTCTATTCTTGTTCGTGCCATAAAATCAGTTAAATTTTTCAAGAACTCTGGATCTTGAAACAAAATGGAATAATCAATTGATGTAGATGGCACGGCAGAATTTCCAGTTGTATGAGTTGGGTGACGATTGATTCTAGTATCTGGATTTCGCTCATTTCGCCCAGAATTTGACATTCTTATTATATGTTGTATGTTCAGACAATCAACTGGTCGAAGGTTCATGCCCTTCCTCTAGCGCCAATCTGTTGTTGTCCAAAATTAACAACGTGAAATTAAATACAGTTGATGTGTAAAAGTAGAAGTAATTATAGAATTTGATTTTATTCGATAGTCACAAGAGTACAGAAGTCGGTTTTATTGATGGAAACCGATATCATCATAAGTCATGTACAATGTGTTCGAAAAAAGATCCTCATACTATCATAAATTCTGCTATTTATAGTACGGTAATTCTTGTCTTTTTGCTTGAAATGGATAAAGACACATTTAATGTTGAGCTGTTTCACTTTAAGCGGTGGGAAACATTAATGATTGCTTTTCTCTTTTGTTGGTCCAATCAGATGCCTCCAATGATTACTTTCTGTTTGGATATTTGGACTTTGTGGTAGTCGGTTTACTTGCATTTGCTTCAGATGTCGGTTCTTTTGAAGATCTCCGGAAGTCGGTAATTCTTCAGCAAGTCGGTAATTAATCCTAATAAATACCGACTTGCTGTAAGCATCTTCTTGAGAGATTATTTCTTCAAGAAAACAATTAATTTCAGTCTTCGATCTTGTGATCAAGTCGGATATCAACAAATCCATAAGTTGCGGGACTTCTATAACCACCATAATAAGTAAGTTGTGAGTTGGATGCGAGCCTCAGCCACTTCAGATTTTGGGATAGTGCACACCTGCCACCACCAAGTTTTAAAATTGATTTCAGCTGTACAGAGGCCATCCCACAGCACCGGGCAAATGTCCCAGAGGGCTTTAGCTTTGGAGCATTGGAAGAAAACATGGTTCACAGTTTCAGTTCCATCACCACAGGCTTGACATATGGGATCCAGGTGGATTCCTTTCTTCAATAAATTGGCTTTGACAGGTAGAATGTTAGAGCAACACTTCCATAAGAAGTGTTTAAGTTTCTGAGGCACCTTCAATTTCCAAGTCCTCTCCCTTGCTTTGATGACAGACTGATAGGTGCTGCTACATTGTGGAATATCCATTTTGTGTAGCTTCTGGTCAATGAGGTAAGAGTAAGAGGAGGAGACTGAAAATTTTCCTTTGCTATCCCAGCCCCAGTACATTCTGTCTTCTTTGTCAGGATTCAAAGAGTTGATCTTCAATATGGCCTGACACTCCTCTGAATTGAAAACCTGTGATATCAACCATTCATTCCAGCTTCTCCCGTTGGTGTGTAAAAGATCTTTGACCCAAATGAGGTGGTCCCTTGCAATGTCTAGCAGATTAGGCTTTGGGATTTTCAGAGATGGAATCCAGTTAGCATCAGAAATTTTGGTTGATTGTCCATTTCTTATTTGGATTCTGAATCCTTTAGCAAAAATAGGAAGGACTTGCAGCCAACAACTCCACAACCAGGAACAGTTTTGATTTTTAGTGGCATCAAAAATAGATGAGGAGGGAAAGTACCTGCTTTTGAGAACTTTGTTTACTAAAAGGTTTGGTTCAGCTGTGATTCTCCATAGTTGCTTACAAATGAGAGCTTCATTGAACAGTTTCACATCTTGGAAGCCTAAGCCTCCTTCTGTTTTTGGAATGGCCAATTTGTCCCAGGCTCTCCAGTGAATGCCTGGGTCTTGGTTTTCCCCCTTGCTCCACCAAAATGAGGCACAAATGCTGGAAATCTCTTTGAGTATGGAAACAGGTAGTTTGAAACAAGCCATTGTGAAGATGGGAATAGCATTCAGAACTGCCTCTATCAATACCTCTCTCCCAGCTGGAGAGAGGAGCTTGTTCTTCCAGCTGTTAAGTTTATTTCTGATTGAAGTAAGAACAAAATCAAAGGCTTCTTTCTTTGATTTCCCAATTCCAAGTGGCAAGCCAAGATACCTAGTGGATTGATGAGTTGTAATTCCAGGAAGCTGAGCACAGATATTCATTTGCAAGGTGGGGGAAGTGTTCTTGCTGAAGAATACAGCTGATTTGCTCAAGTTCACCCTCTGACCTGTGAACAGTCTGAAGTTTTCTAAAATAGTCAACAAATTCTGAACTTGGTCCACACTAGCCTTACAAAATAGCAAAGCATCATCTGCAAAGAGAAGATGAGAAAGCAAGGGACCTTCTTTGGAGATTCTGACACCAGACAAAAGGCCTAAGTGGATTGCATTGGTGATCATTGAGGAAAGCAGCTCAGCAACAATAATAAAGATATATGGTGACAAAGGGTCTCCTTGTCTTATTCCCCTTGTTGGGAATATTAATTTGCTGATTGACCCATTATTGTTAAAAGCCAGAGATGTAGAGGAGATACATTCTATAATCAGCTTGATGAACAGAGGAGCAAATCCCATTTTCAGCATTATTCCTTGGAGACTCTTCCACTCCACCCTGTCAAAAGCCTTCATGAGATCCAATTTCAAAGCCATAAAGCAGTGGTGACCTGTTCTGTGTCTGTTTAGGAAGTGAAAAACCTCTTGTGCAATTATCACATTGTCTAGAAGTTGTCTCCCTTTTATGAATGCTGATTGGCTTGAACTAATGCAAGGATCCAGGCAGACTTGCAATCTCAGAGCTAGGAGCTTGGAAATGACCTTGTACACCACAGTGCAGAGGCTTATAGGTCTGTATTGGCCAATGGCTTCAGGGTTATGGCATTTAGGGATCAGTGTGATTAGAGTCTTGTTCCAATACTTAAGCATCATGCCAGAGGAAAAGAAACTCATGATTGCAGCTGTGACATCATTTTTAATGCATTCCCAGAAATGCTGATAAAAGAATGGGCTCATACCTTCTTCTCCTGGAGCCTTATCAGGAGCAAGGCTGAACAGAGCTGATTTAACCTCTTCCTCTTTCACAGGTTTGAGCAAGTTGTTGTTCATCTCAGCTGTTATTGTCTGTGGAATGAGGTTTAGTAGGTTCTCTCCTCCCCAAGAGCCTTCAGAAGTAAACAGTGCACCATAAAAATCTGTGACATGTTCTGAAATGGCTGGTTGAGATTGAAAGCTGTGGTTATTGGCATCCACCAGCCTTGTGATGGAGTTTAGTTTCCTTCTGTGCCTGACAAAAGCATGAAAAAACTTTGAGTTTCCATCCCCATGTTTCAACCATAAATGTCTAGCTTTCTGTTGCCAGAACTGTTCTTCATGTTGATGAGCTGTGTTGAGATCTCTAATGGTTCTGTCCCAGCTGTCCCAGTCCTTTTCTCTCCCTGTGGTATTTAGGATCTCCAGCTGGTGTGTCAGTTCTTGAATTTCTTTTTGTCTCTGAGCCCTGAATTGAGAGCTCCATTGTAGAAGGGCTAGCCTAGTGGCCTTAATTTTCTCTTTCAGAATGTATAAGGGAGTACCAAGCTGTTGAGTAGCCCAAGCCTTATGCACCACTTCTGAGCAGCCCTCCATACTCAGCCATCTCTTATCAAAGCTAAATCTCCTCTTGAATTTTGGATGTATAATCCCTATGTCAAGTAACAACATTGAGTGATCAGAGGCTCCCTTCAACACATTCTTCACTGTTACATTCTGGTGCTGGTCTAGCCATCCAATGGAAGCAAAAGCTCGGTCTAATTTTTCTTCCACAAAGCCCTCCATGTCTCTGTTGTTAGCCCATGTATATGGATAGCCTACCATGTTTAATTCTTCCATCTCCATATTGAAAATGAAATTGTTAAAATCCTGCAGGCTACTACCATTTCTGATTCTGCCACCTTTCTTATCTTCCTTGAATCTAATGTCGTTCCAGTCTCCCATGATAAACCATCTCGCTCCCCAATGTGCTTTATATGTTAGAAGATCAACCCATTGACCTATTCTAGTTGGTTTGTCTGTGCTGAGGTAGATAAAGATGCCCCAAGATGAGGGCTCATCCTTAAATGTATACTCCACAGCAATGTAGAACGATTTGCTGATGACTTGCAAAATACTTACTTCAGTATCCCAGAGAAGTAGTAATCCTCCACTTTGGCCATGAGGATCAACTAATGCAAATCTCTCTTCATAGCCTAGCTTTTTGCAGACTGACTTAACAAAACCTTGCTTGTTTCGAGTTTCTGATAAAAAAAGAAAAACTGGATGGTGAGCCTTGCAAGACTCTCGAATTTGGGAAACCGTAGAGGGCCCACCCAGCCCTCTACAGTTCCATACCGCAGCTAGCATTTATCACTCGGGTGCCATTTGAGGCTGGCAACCCCCACCTGTGCTTTTGAGATCTTTATTTTCTTGGCGGTCTTCAGAAATAGAATGGAGGGAAAGATCATCCTCCTCAATGGGTGGATCCTGGTCTTCTCGCTGTCTTTTGCCACTTGTTGAATCAGGTACAATGGAAGTTCGATCCTCTTGTCTCATGAGGCGACCATCCTTGCTGGTTGATCTCTTCCAAGATTTGCCTTTTGCTTTTGCGACTATCGGGGAGTCAGGGTAGGTTTCAGTTATTTGGAGATTGTTATGCTCAATGTCCATGTTTCCCTGGGAAAAATAAGAGGCATTTTCAATCATCATAATAGAGTTGGGTGTGGAATTCAAATTTGGTTGCGGTTGGGTAGGGGATGGAGTTTCCTCTGTTTGAGATGGGAGGTGAGAGGATTCCTCTCGGGCTGGAATGATTTGATTGCTATTTTCTGCTTGGCTATTGGAAGTATTGAGAGGGTTAGGCTGCGACATGGATGGAGTGGTATCGGATTGATGATGGCTCCAAGAATTAGAATTTCCTAAGCCAGACCAGTTTTGGAAATCAGAAGCACACATCCAATCGCCAAATTGGCCTTCCTTCACAGAGTTGGATTTAATATCTTGGATTCTAACAACACAGTCTCTTTCCAGGTGACCAATATGACCGCAGTAGTGACAATGATTAACCAACCTCTCGTATTTGAACCCTGCAATCGCCTCTCGATTATCCAGTCTAATATGTGCGCAGCGAGGTAAAGCTTCTTTTAGGTCCACCGTGACCATTAAACGCATAATTCGGCCCCCATGGCTGCCGGCACCAACTACAACAACGTTATTTACCCTTTTGAAAACACTTCCGATTTTTAACCCCACCTCCGTGCTGAGCCAATTGAGAGGAATGTTGAAGACCTGTACCCAGAAGTCTAGTTCTGTGAATATGTGGTGGTTCAGAGATAGCCCCTCCTGCCATTCCGCCAAAATGAGATATTTGTTGTCAAAAATCCAATTGGTTCCTTGGGAAACTTTGAAGAGATCGTCCCGGTTTTGAAAAATGAATTGGAAGTAGTTTGGTCCGAGTTCCTTGACCTCCATGGATTGTTGCAGTCGCCAGATGTTTGACATGGAGCGTTTGATTCCTATCCAACTGGCCCTTCGATCACCTATGATTTTCCCGAATAAACTGCGCCTACATTCTTCGTCACTAATTTTTATGTCTGCTTTGGCGATGTCGATGAACTTGTGCTCTCTATCAGATAATGAAAAACCCTGTAGTCGAATTGCAAGATCTTCATCCTGCCCCACACATCGATGGGTTCTCATGACAGGAGAACCCTAGGATGAAAAATGCGCCCAAATTTGCTGCAAGCTACGAATACGGAGGGGAGATATGACAAAAACGGCTAAACCTGAATAAATACGGCGAGAATAGTTCAGAAAAGGATCAGAAATTCGGCCAATGAGATCGCTCTCCACGAGAGAATTTCATCGCTCTCCACGAGAGAATATGTTTTCTCATAAATAAAATATTATTTAAAAGTAGGTTAGGTTTTTTTTCAAATCGAAAAAATTAGTTCAATCGATCAAGTGCAATTCGATCCTCATTAGTGTGCAATTCATCTGACACTATAGTGCACGTACAGTGCATACATTTTCTAATAATTTTTTTAACCCAAACTAAAATCGAATTTAAATAATCGGTAACAGAAATACTATTATTAATATAAATAACTTAATATTTAAAATATAAGAAAATATTTAGTATAATTAACGTTTATATTTAATATTTTATATTTTTATACATGAAAATGAATAATATTTTTATATAATTTATATATATATATATATATATATATATATATTATTTTTGAGCAATGCTATAAGTACATAATATTATACATAGAGGTGTACATAACATTCACATCAAGTGGGTCCTACCAAAAATAAAAAATCAAGTGGACCCCACCCATGTGAGTGTTATGTACACCTCTATGTACATTTATTATGTACTTATAGCATTTTTCATTATTTTTTATACAGTTTGTCGGTTTGATTATTTTTTGGTTATTTAAAAAAAGTAATGTTCATATTAATCCGATATAGTTGATATTTTACAAATAAAAATAGATAATCAACCGGAATTATATGATTTTGAAACAAAATCTTTAATTCATTCAATTTCGATTATTATGTGCAATTCGTCTAACATTACGGTGCAACTTGGTAGTCTTTAAAGTGAAATTCATCAAACACTAATGTGCAGTCACAGTGCATTTGTTATTCATTATTATAAAAGTATATTTATTTTTTATATATTAAAAATTTACATATTAAAAATTTTAAATTGTGTGCACATATTTATCATTAGTATGCATTTATGAGATATGTCTATATTCGAAACAAAATCTTTAGTTCATTGAGTTTCGGTCATTATGTACAATTCGTCTAACATTATGGTGCAACTTGGTAGTCGTTAAAGTGCAATTCATCTAACACCATTTAGTTCATACGATTTTATGGTCGCTAAAGTGCGCCCTGACAGTCACTTTCGTGCAATGCATCAAACACTAATGTGCAATTTAATTGTATATATAAAAAAATGAAAGATATTTTAAAAATATTTATATAAAAAATATAATATTGTTTATTCATACTAATTATATTTTATAATAATTATTATTACATTATTATCTAAATAATATAATTGAACTAATTATTATTTATATTACATAAATATATTTACTTTTTTAATACTGTTATTTAATATTTATGTATAAAAAAATCTATACAAAATAATACTTTTTTAACTCTTTATAAATTCCAGATTTGGCACATGGTTAAATTGCAATATGACCAAAATTGCTAAAATTGCTAAGGAGCCCTTAAAAACTATCTAATTTTCAACAAATCACATAAGCCCCAAATCTGATTTTTTAATCTGTCGACCAGGACCACCAGGTTGAACAACATCCGTCGGTGGTTGCCAGCGAGTCAGCCGCCTGGATACGAGAAGATGACGTCGGAGAGACCGAATTTGATTTCGATTTTGACGTGGGAGGAGAGGCCGCAGGCCATTCGCTGGGTGGCCGATCGACGGTAGGGCTTCAAGGTGAGAGGTTTGTTGGAAGAGATCGATTGGAGCTGATTTATTAGGGTTTCGGCTAATCGATTAGATCTGTCCTCGTTCGCCGGTCTCCTTGGACTGGCCGGCGGCAAGTGGTGTGCGGCAGCGGCGGTCGATTGGTGCTCCCAGACGGAGGCGACACGCTTCGAGGTCGGCGACGGATCTGAGTAAGGTGGTGGCTCAAGTGGGATGACGGGCAACTGACGGCTTGCAGCAGCGATGGGCGATTGTAGCGGCGACGGACGTTGGCTAGATTGGTTGTAGGTGGGGATATCGGTGATTGTGTGTGATGTGTGTCTGCGTGCTTGCATGTGTGGATGGGGAGACGTTAAATGGCCATATTACCCTTAATGAATTAATATTTTTTTGTTTTTTATTAGTCGTTAGATCATCCGATCCAATGGTCACGATGTATTCTTATTTCTTTCACTAAGACCCTTTCTCACTTGAACCTAATCCTATATAGGGGACGGATCCAATGGGTCCACCTCTTAAAATGTGGACGTGAGCCCAATCTCAACCATTGAATCTGCCTTTTAAATCTACGGTCAACATTAGGTATATATATAATTATAAAATCACGAGCTGAAAATCACAAACCTTCAGCTCGCTCGCACACAAAATCGGAAATAATATCTCAGATTTCCTCCTCAATCACGATTCTCTGCGATTTCTTTCTCAATCTCGATTTCCTTATCAATTTGAAGTTCGATTTCATCGTCTAATTAGGTTTAACTCTCGTTTTCTATTGATTCGATAAGCAAACTCAACTGCTCGTCAAAAATATCTAGGGAAAAAAAGTCGATTTCATCAGATTTATCTACAATGTCGACGGAAGCAGCTTCAATGGAGATCGAAGCAACTCCAGTTGCGACATTAATGGAAGAAGGTATACTGACTTTATTTTTTTCCAAATTGATTCATCAAAATTTAAATAAAATAGGTGCTGATGAATTCACCATGAATGAGAATCGAGTTATTCAATTAGAATCAATCACGTAATGTTGAAAAAATTGTTCGTGCTTATCTGCCATTTTGATTTTTGTAGAATCTCTGTTTTCTGGCAAGAATATTATATAATGTTGATGCAGTTGTTCAAATTATTCTGTGTCGATGCAGTTGTTGAAATTATTCATTGTTGATGCAGTAGTTGCTGATAATGTTGAATAAATTGTTCATGTTATTCTGGAATTTTGATTCATGATATAACTAACACCTAGCAGCACTAGAGCACTAACCTAGCAGCAGTAGACAACTAACCTAGCAGCATCAGACAACTAACCTAGCAGAATCAGAGAGCTAACCTAGCAATGACATTAAACGAACCTAGCACCTACATACAACTAACCTAGCAACTACATACAACTAACCTAGCAGCATGAGAGAATTAACCTAGCAGAATCAGAGAACTAACCTAGCAACTACATACAACTAACCTATCAACTACAAACAACTAACCTAGCAGCATCAGAGAACTATCCTAGCAAATAAATATAACTAACCTAGCAACTACAGACAATTGACCTAGAAACTACAGTCATCTAACCTAGCAACTAAAGACAACAAACCTAGGAACAAGATACAACTAACCTAGCAACAAGAGACTACTAGTCTAGCAACAAGAGACAAATAAACTTGCAAATAGATATAACTAACCTAGCAGCAAACATACAACTAACATTGCAACACGATATAAATAACCTTGTAATTGCAATTATTAAGGCTAATGTTTTTTTATGATATTTTGCAACAGGTATTACACATGAGGAATGTCAATTTCAATTGGTGATATCACCGAATTCAACAAAGTACTGAATACCAATTGTCAAAGAAGATGTATAACCTAAAGTTGGCATGCTCTTTGAGAATCTGGAAATTGGAATGCAATATTACAGAAACTATGGAGCAAATGGTGGATTTGATGCTCGTACTAGCACGAAAAAACGTTTTAGAAGTCGGATGGTAACAAAATTTCATTCAGCCTTTTGATGAAGTTATTATCCTTGGCTAATGTAGGACCAACCTTTACATTTACCTTTTCCATGATATGCTACATGCACAAACGATGTCTTGCCTGTTTGAAAGTCACCTGAATTGCATTCTTCATAGCAGGATCTTGGTCAGTAACAATGTAATATGGTTCATTTCTCATAGCTTTCAAAAAATTTTCCAATAACCAAATGTATGATTCCACATCCTCTTTAACCATCAATCCAGCTCCAAATGTGACACACTTTTTATGGTTATCAATTCCTGTAAATGGTACAAACACCATTTTGTACCTGTTTAAAGATAGAAAGCAAATCAGAATAATAAATGAAATTTTTAAGTAGCATATTACTTGCAAGGTTAGTTCTATGTAGTTGCTAGG